CCGCCTGGATGATCACCAAACTCCCAATCACCACCAAGCCGTCTAGGTGATGACGATCATCAAGAGTAACAAGCACAAACTCTTACTTGACCAAGCCAAGCCTAATGAGAAGGGTGGATGCACACTTGCTACTCTCTATGCACTAATGAGGTTCTTAATCTTGGATTCTCACATGTCAATCACATCACTAGGCTCTTGCTCTCCTTGCACTCTAAAGGTGTTTATTTTCAATATGCTATCGTTGCTGAACAAATGGGCAAGAGGCTTGAGCAGGCATGAAGTAAGTATTTATACCCCGGTGTTTGGCTGTATTCAAAACAAGATCCAGGAAGTTTGGAGGCAATCTGATTTTTTTTTCAGCCCTTTTCTTAAAAAATATTCATAAATAGACTCGGACCCTGGTAATTTTATTTTCGTTTATTGACCCTGACCTTGGCGCCATGATTTGGCCAATGGCGTCAGGTCTTATGGCGGTATGGGACGGATGACCGGACGCTCAGTCGAGCGTCATAAACGCCCATCTCATTGTTTGCTCAAATGAAACAGAGAACCGTTAAGCTCGATAGCGGACTTTGACCAGTTTGTTAGTTAATTGGGCCGACGGACGCATCCGGTCATGAAAAACACGCTCAAACCTTATCTCGAGTCGTCTAAATTTTGATGGGATTATTATTTTTGGTTACTTAGTTATTACTAACGTCCTGGGTTCCACCAAACTTTGTTATTATTAACATGTGAGAGAACACTATTCACTAATTTATAATTTGGGATGAAGGATCAAGGTCTATTTATTTATATATTATCTAAATCGGTCCATTATTATTATAATCATGATTGTAATTTATTAGATTGAGTGTTTTTCTTACGAAAGATCTCCGACCAAACTCCGTCCGAACAGTCCCGATTAATATGGAGACGCGTCCCAAATTAAAGAGCTCAACACTGTCAAGAAAACCCCTCTCTGGAACCTTCAACTTATATACGATGACAAAAGCCATAAGCATGTTGGACCGATATATATAAACATGTCACTCAAATTGATCATGGTGTGTTCAAAATCAAATAAAAAATAAATTAAATATCTGATCCATTCAACAATAATATATAGTGTGCGGTGAAATCGTCGCTTATAAAAAAATTAACAAAAAATATTTATTGATTGTCACCAGACGATCAATTTTTCATGTTCTATTGATCAAATGAACTGCTTGGAGTTCAAACCCGGACTCACCCTCCAACGTCCAATGGGATCATTGCATGTTTCTCGAAATAATTTTTCTTTGTCACAAAGACTTGCAGCAAATGGGTCAGTCTCGGCCATCATTTGACCCTCCATTCACTTTCAACTCGAAATCCTATGTGAATAAAGTTGACTCCAATTGATCTTAGGGCTATTCCTGAACTACCTAGTGCTAGGTTTGACAAGTGTGCACCACACCTAACGCACTAGACTCACCTAGATCAAGCTACTAGTCCATACCCCCCTTAATAGTACGGCCAAAGGAAAGAACAAAGTCCTAAACTATTATAAGTGTCTCTTCAACACCAAACGACACTTAGAACTAGTCCGTTTTTAACCTTGTCGTCCATCCTTTGAAAACCGAAACAAATTCCATCGACGGGGGCATGAAAACCATAATTGCCTAATCAATTACCATTACCATGACCTAACTTAAATTGCCTCTACAAAACACACGTTAGTCATAGTAATCTCGTGTCGTCATTAATCACCGAAACCCAATTAGGGGCCTAGATGCTTTTAATACCTACTAATTGGTGAGGCCATCTCGACTAACAACCAATCACCCATGATCGTCTGGGCAAATCATTTCATTGCTTATACTCCCTCTATCCCTGAATAATTAGATTTCTATCAAGTTTCGGATAAATTAGTATAGATGTCAAATGACTATATTACCCTTGATTAATTTGAGTTCCACCATTAAATTGCACACTAATCGGTGTTTGGGTTACGGCTCGGTCACAACCCTGTTCATTTCGCTGAAATTTGACTTATGCTGAAATGTTGTGAGAGAAAAACATTGTTGGTTCGCTGAAAAGTATTGCTAGAATTAGTGCAGCAGAACAAGGCTATTTACTACTCATCCAGCCAGCTGTAGCAAAATTAGCCACCAGGAGGGGATGCAGCATTAAATAGGATGATAATACGAGGAGTACTAAACGGGCTGGTGGATCATCATCCTCCAGGAATCGACTTTATTTGTGGATAAATTTTTGCTCCAGAAATTGATTTTTTAGGAACAAAGGGAGTATATTGGAGGTAGTGGCCAAAAGCCATGAGGCATAGGCTGGTAAATGGCCTGATATTTTGGCCCGACCCAGACACAAGCACACTCTAAAACATGCATGTGCTGGTCTAGCTCGTGAGGTGTGCCATGTTTGGGACACTGTTGGGCCACTCTAGGCAACACAAAGAACGACCCATTTATGAGGCGGTCTAGTAAGTCCGATGGTGATGGGTATTCAAAACCTGACTACCCGTCGAGTTTTGCCTGATAAAAAGGCGGGTATTAGAAGATATCTTCATCTGCGAGTATGCTATTGAATAAAAATCTCTACCCGTCAGGTAAACGGGTACGGTCGTATGGGAACATACTACCCATACTTATGTACCCGCGGGCAATTTTACCCAATTTAGCAATACATGTCTTCATTGTTACTACAAAATACACACACACACACACACACACACACACACACACACACACACACACACACACATATATATATATATATATATATATATATATATATATATATATATATATATATATATATATATATATATGACTATTATACTATTAGTTAGTGAATTTTTTGTTACTATGTTATAATTGTTGATATCTATTCACAAATAATTTAGGATAAAGGATTTTAATAATATAATATATTCAAGTTTTTATGTTTGTTGCGGGTTGAGTATTTATAACCATGCGTGTATGGGTATGGATAAATTCAATTACCATGTGTGTGGAAACATGTATTTTAACGGTATAATTTTTTGAGGCGGATACAGGTGTGGGATGGCACTACCTGACGTGTATATACCTGTTACCATCTCTAGGCCCGCAACCCCACTCCAAATAAAAAGTTTGCTGGCCAGAGGTGAACCCTAGCCAACCCTTCGATCCACCCCCACTCAAACCTCTATTTCTAGTCACTCTGGATTCTCGCCAACCTTCCTTCTCCCTTCAAAGCTACACCACTCACTTTATGTTCCCTTGCTAGTCTCCATCTCCTCCGCACATCCATTCTAAGCATCGCTGCTCTTGTCCCTTCTCTCTCCTCCATCGCTCCTTGCCCCCTCCATTGGCACTCCCACAATGCGATATGATGAGGGCTCATCGATGCTGACTATGTATAAATCCTTGATGTCGATTGCCTCCAGATTCATCATGTCTCCTCTGCTTTCGATGGCCTAGCTATTCCACCTCCAAATAATCTTGATGAGGCGGTAGTGCTCGCCATGCTGGCACTGGTCCAACAGGATCATCGGGTCGGAATGACACGATTAAATCATCGCGGTCCCCTGCCTAGGCCTTAGATTGAGTCCATGGGCGGGCACAACTTGCTTCTCATACTGTGTTGAACTGACCATCTTGCCATCTACAGTGTGGTACTACTGCATGAGACAAAACAACATAGTGGATCGACGTTGCATTTGTTTGGATGGTCCCTCTCGGCATTGATTTTGCAGAGCCCAAGGCAGCATGAAGTATCCCTAATTCCCCTTGGATATTAGCGCCTAATTCTCTTGGGATCTTAGCGATCATGTACAATCATGTAGACCAAAAGCAACTATTCCCTCCATCCCAAAACAAATCAACTAATATAATCACTCTAAGTAAAACTATCTTGAGTTTAATCAACTTTTTAGTGAAAAATAACAACATTTATGATATCAAATAAGTAGAATGGTGTATCTAGTAGTTACACTTAGGCCCTCTTTGGATCCACCCCAACTAAAATTTAGCTAACTAATTGCTAGAGCTAAAATTTAGCTAACTAAAATTTAACGGGCGGATGTTTGGATCCTCTAGCCAATTAAAAACCTTGACCATGCTACCCTCATTAATTCCATTGTTTAGCTACCTAAACCTTAATTGGGGTGTTTGATCTTCCAGGTAAACTTTAGCTAGGGTAGTTTGATCATTGAGGCCTTTTATTTGGTTTTAGCTAGGTTGAAATAGCTAAATGGACTGTGTATATTTTAGCCTCTAGCTAAAGTTCAGCTGGATTTAGCTGTGGACTGTTTGGATTCACCACTTTATTAGCCGGCTAAAGTTTAGTTGGTGAATCAAAATAGGGCGTAGAATAATAATTTGGCTTGGAATAACTTCATATTATAAGCCAAAAGGTACTGTACTTTGCACTCGTGAACCAAAAAGGTCACGTGCACATTTGATGCATATGGGCCGGCAGGCGGCAGCGCGTTCAATAACGAACAAGTCCACCACGGGCAGCACGCGGCAGCAGTCTAGCAGAGCTGAACAACGGTGCCCGAGAGCAGTTTCCACGACGTTTCTTTCTTCGTTCCTCCACTGACTGAACCCTTATTCTTCGGCCGCCGGGACGGACTCTCTCACCGGCCGGCACTGCACAATTTCCCCCGAACCTCACATAATAGTCACGTGCTGGCTGGACTACGCGTGACATCGCGGAAATTCGGTTGGGTGGGGGTTGGCTCGCAGCGGCAGCGCAGCTCGTTTTCAGCATCCGGACGGGGACGAGATAGCTTCCGCGCGGCCCAAGTATCCGAGATTCTCTCTGTCACTCTGCCAGTTTCCTTTCCTACCTTTCAGCTTGCTTGCCAAGTCTACGGCTCTACGGCCCCTGCTCCGCCCACCGCCCTAGCGTAGCTCGGCTATAAAAGCAGCGTGGCGAAGCTCAAGGCAGCCCGCAAGTCACGGAGAGCGCGCAAGCAGCTGAGCTACTTCAGGCAGCTTACAAGGAGAAAGACAGCTTGCTAAGAGATCGCGATGGCGTCCATGATGGGAGGAGACTTCGTGGAAGCGTACGTGCTCAAGAACGCCTACAAGGAGAAGCTCCGGCGCATGGAGGCGGCCGAGGAGAAGAAGAGCAAGCAGGGCCCCGCGGAGAAGGAGAAGAAGGCCTCGGGCGGCGGCGGCGGCAGGGGAGGAGGCCTGTTTGGGCTCCTGAAGAAGAAGGTGCACCCGAAAGCGGCCGCGTCGCCCATGGAGACGAGCAGCGTTGAAGAAGCCTCCTCTTGATTCAGCTCTCTCCATATTTGGTGTCATCAATGCCGGACGATCGGTCGTCGATCGTCGTAGACGAAGTACGAATTGTTAGAAGGCCAGCTTGCAATTACGCAAGCAGTGCTTTTCTAGGATCGTGGACTCTTCCTTCTTTCTTTCTTTGTTGACGATCCAGCGTGTAACGAACTCGCTTCAGATCGATCATGTTGTTTCATTGGTTATTACTCAGCGTAAGTTACGTGAAATGGCAAAAAACTGCAAAAAGGAATGTAAAAATATTTTGTCGGGTACGACTGACTGTCAACTCTTTCCAAGCTAGTGGGTGTCTGCTGCCTCTGCTTTACTCCGTAATTTACTCTTCAATCTTCTTCGTTGGCCAAGCGCCCAGGCCATATTATAATTAACTTCGGCTAGAATATTGTTTTCCCTAGGTGAAATGCGATAATTAAATATTTTTCATATTAACGTCCAAGTTATGCAAAGTTAAATTCTGGGCAAGTTTTCCTCTTCTTTTATAAATAGAAATTTGCACAGTCTCGTGCCTTTCGTTCAAAAAAAATTCTAGGTGATTCAGCTTTTGTTGGCTCCCACCTCCCAGCACACTGAAATGGTTTGGTCTGTCTTCAGTCTACTGATCAGTACTAAGGAGTGAGGAGAGCAGCCAGCAAACAAGGATAATCATATCGCTAAACTATGTTCAGGCCGGCTTGGGACCAACATGGGAATGGGACAACGGTTCCAGAACTCTCCCATTTTGACCTCTGCAAGCTCCCATTTCGATCCATGCCGGCCAAGCGGAACTTGAAAAAAAAAAAAAAGAAATCTCTCTCTCAGATCTCAGCGAACCAAAGCCATCTCACGCGCTTTTTGGTCGCTGTAATTGAACTATATATATGTTCAACGTGCTCCGAAGTCCGAACATTCTCTCGAAGAATACAGATTATTTTTCTTAACAAAAAACATGCTCCACACGTTCTAATAAGAAAATATAAGCTGCGGAAGCGACGAATAGATCCCATAGCGCACACAACCGGTTGCTCTGGATACACACGCATGAGTAATCCATATTTTAAACACCAGCTGGCCAGATCTCCAGGCCGCCAACTTCATTTCATTGACTTCATAGACGCGCTGACAAAAGGAATATATAGTGTTAGGTAATCTCAGCCGAAAGCAAAGATCAAAATATCAAATTGATGATTCTTGGCATGCCTACATGCATGTTTCAAGCATGGATTAAGATGGATCGAGAGAAGTCTTACAAAGTTACGGGAAGGAGAAGTGCAGTGCGCTGACTGATGTTTTGTGCAGAAGTGAGAATAAGCCAGTCGCTCGACTGATGAGTTCGTGGCGTCAGCATATATAGTCGTAAGTCGTGGGATCAATCCGATGGCTGCGAATTAAATCCTAATCATCATCAGTACTTAGTAATCAAATCTGCACGTGTGAAAACATTAGCCGTAGGCCATTTTTATGCACCTGTGCCCGAGGACCGATCGAGAACGTGAAGCGCCTTCCACCGCGTTTCTCTTGCACCGCAACAACGAAACGACCCAACGGCACGGACTCGGAGAGCGGGAGAGAGGCAGCGCGGGGCCCTCTTCGCGTTTTCAGTGTGCCCGTCTATGCCTTCCGGCTTCCGCGCCACCCAAGCAACCAAGATTCTTCGCCCCCTTATCAGTTTCCTCTCGCTTCTCTGCTTGCGTGCCAAGTCTACGCCCGGCTCTTCTCAACTCGAGCCTATAAAAGAGCGGGCACGCGCCTCAACTCCTTCCCCGCACACTCAGGGCGTATTTAGTTCTGTGAAATGAAAATTTTTGGATGTCACGTCGGATGTTTCGGGAATGTCGAAAGGAGTTTTCGGATACTAATAAAAAAAACTAATTACGTAGCTCGTCTGGAAACTGCAAGACGAATTTATTAAGCCTAATTAATCAATCATTAGCGTATGGTAGTTACTGTAGCACTTATGGCTAATCATGGACTAATTAGTCTTAAAACATTCGTCTCGTGATTTTCAACCAAACTGTGTAATTAGTTTTTTTTCGTCTATATTTAATACTCTATGCATGTGCCGCAAGATTCGATGTGATAGTTTGGGGTGAAAATTTTTGGGAAGTAAACCAGGCCTCACAGGAAGCGCGCAGCTGAGCTACTTCTGTCAGCTTAATCGACCCAATTCAGTTGCAAAGAGGAAATTTCAATTAGGAGAGGAGCAGGTCATTTGCAATGGCGTCCATGATGGGAGGTACGTGCTCAAGAACGCCTACAAGGACAAGCTCCACCCCTTGGAGGCCGCCGAGGGGAAGAAGACCAAGCAGGGCCCCGCGGAGGAGGAGGCCACGAACGGCGGCGGCAGCAGCAGGGGAGGAGGAGGCCTGTTCGGGCTCATAAAGAAGAAGCAGGTGCATCCCAAAGCCGCCGCTTCGTCGGCGGCCATAGAGACCGGTCATGGAGCCTCTTCTTGAATGTGCTCTATGATCGCCCCACAATCAGTGATTCTGAGACAGCGCGGCGGACGAAATGCTGTTTATTTGGCTTGTCTACAGTCGTGTAATTTGGCTTGTCTACTTTCTTCTTTCTCGACGATCGGGTGTATAAGGGCAGTCCCAATAGTGTATTGATGATGGTATCTATCCTCATTAAATAACTGCCACGTAGGTAAAATGCTGACATGGCAACGTAATTAATGAAGAAAGAGAACAAAAATCATAGAAATGGTTTCCTCATGAAGAAATCAGGTCTTCTCTTAACCCAATGCACCAAGAAACTATGAAATCGCCATTAAGGAGAAACCACCAGTTTCCAGGAGGGCTCGTGCCACACTCTCATTGAAGGAAGAAGATAGAGTTGGGAAAGAGAAAGAGAAAATAATTATTACACAAAGACACCTCCACTGTGGAAGGTAGTTTCTATAGATGATTTCTTATGCTATGGAAACTGTATCAGTTTTTTCCATTGGACTGCCCTAACTAGCCTCACGTTCATGATGTTGTTAATTTCATTTGTTATTAAATGTAATTTATGTGAAATGGCAAGAAGAAAAGGCGCGTAAGATTTTCTGCCTGAATTCAGCCGTGCCGTACTTACACTTCCGACCCATAATAATTGTTAAACTTGTGGTCAACATCTATGCGCATCTCATAATTGTTAAACCATGAAAATTTCATATGCTCATTGATCATTACATGTATGTATACATGTGGTCTGTAGCTACGTGATGGTGTGAACCATTAATTCAGGTCTACTTTGAGTAAGTTTTTTTTTATATATTAATAATATCATCAAAGTGATAAATTTAGAAGCATGTACGGAGTATAGTGGTATTTCAATAATAGCATCTATGGGCAATTCAATGAATATTGTTGTCCACGATGAATGATCTCTTCAAGAATAACACTCTTGATAGGGGCCTCCCAAGATACGTGATAGGTATCGACACTTGACGGTTTGTTATGTTGAAAACCATGGGAGAGCTTGAACAAAGTTATCGGGGATCAGGACGAAGCCAGAAAAAAATTTAGGAGAGGCTGAACAAAAGAATAGAGACTTTTTTTATCTTCTCTTAACCTTAGCCCATCCTACCTAATACATATATACATAAAATTTTAAGAAAAGTCTTAGGAGGCTCCACGTGTCCAGGATCGGTGGGGGGCTAAAGCCCCCCCGCTGGCTCCGTCGCTGTCGGGGATGTTGGTATCAGTGACCTAGATACTAGTGGTGGAAGCCGGATGATTGTTGTCCTGACAGGTGAGCTCGAACGAAGCAACCTGGGCCAATCCAAAGGGACAGGGGATGTCGACATCACCACAACTCATCTTGCGACAGTGAGCTAGGGATGCAGTTGAAGGGATATGTAAATTCCCTCCGCTGGCTTCAAACACGCGGCTGACGTTCACACCACCGCCAAACAAATGACCAAAAGGCACACTTAACTGGATCCCATCTTAAGTGGTAGATGATTATTGCGTCAATTTCTGATGCAACGACTGAAAACATACACAATTCCTTATTACGTGCTAAATAACAAATGAACAGGTGCATCACACATGAGGAAGAGAGAGAGAGAGAAACGATAAAAAGGGGAAGGTGGTCTAGGACACCAGGAACATGATCGAGTCTCACCACCTAACGAGCACGATGAAATCCTGCTGGAAGGAGGGAGCGGGCGGGAGAAGGTGCCGCCGAGCAGGTCTTAGAGGCGAGAGGGTCGTTCACCCACCTCCCAGGCTCCTCAACCTCGCCTGCGGACGTGACAAGGGAACAGAGCACCCAAGGATAGGGACAGAGCTTCTTTAGGGCTAAAGAGGGGTGAGAGGACTGCACGTAGTGCGGTTGGCAACGATGCCAGGTGCGCGTCCATGCCCGCCTGTGTCGAGTCTCGACTCACGCAGGCGCTCACCAGGACTTTGTTCCTATTTTCTACAGCCTCACACGTGGATGCGCCACAATGGTCAGGGTGATGTGCCCGTCACGTGCGAAGCCTGTTTGACTTCGGATATCTCTCAGTCACGTGCAGTCTCTTTGTATAGGTGTAGATCTAGCTTGCGCCGTTGCGCGCTAGAGCGTGTGTGAGTCTATGTGCGTGTGGTGATGTTCGTTATGTGCGAAGCCTGTTTGACTTTGATATCTCTCAGCCACGTGCAGTCTCTTCGTATAGGCGTAGATCTAGCTTGCGCGCTAGAGTGTGTGTGAGTCTATGTGCGTGTGGTGATGTGAGTTGTGCGTGAGTTCAGATACTATAGCTTGTACTTAAAGAGTTGAGGCGTAAAAAAAAAGAGGGTCATATGCCCCCTCTTATACAAACAATTTCTTAAGTACATATTTAATTCTAGCTTTCAGTTGACAAGAAAATATTAATATGACCATTGTTAATGTTGATCATATTAATTTGGCCGCCTTTGTAAAATGGTTCAAGCTCCGCTACTGTGTAAGGAGTTCATCCAGAGAAGTCTGAGGAACAACAGTACGGCGCTTGGCTGTGTTCCATGTTACGAACTGAATGAGACTCATGT